CTGGTATCACTGAATTTTTATTTTTTAATATTTATTTCATTTTATCAGCTCATTTCCCCAAATATAACACCCTAACTTCACCAAGTTTTCTGAGATTCTGATCTAAAGAACTGCTATCTTTTATAGCACAAATCAGCTGAAGGAAAGAGTGGTCAATGATGTATGTTCTCTTTTATAGTTAAAACAACCGTAAAAAGAGGAGAGGAGTTCTGAGGGTAGAGACTAAAGGTGTTCCAGTCTTCTTTCTGGATTGCAGATGGAGTCTCTCCTTCTAAATGATGCCCTTACACTTCATGAAACTTTCTCCTCAGACCTACCCCAGAACAGGACACTTTTAGGACTGTAGACTCATTTACCTTCTAAAGCTTTTGATGGCACTTGGCAGCCCCCTAGTGGCCAAATCCTCTACCTGACAAAAGTCTTTTGCTACGCTGAGTTGTTCACGTGTGAAGTGTACTCTAGTGTGTAACTTACTTTGAAATGTATAAAAAAAACAATAGGATGGATTAATGGATGAATAGAGAGATGCACAGGCGATTAGATATGTGATGAAGCAGATACAGCAATGCTAACTGTAGAATCCAGGTGATGGGCGTATGGGTCACTGTATCATTCTTTCAGCTTTTCTGTGAACATTTATATAATAAAACATTGAATAAATATCTCTCTGGTAGGCTCTGGAAAAAATGAAGGGGAAATAAAGACTTTTTCAAATGAATAGTAGCTGAGAAAATGCATTGTCAAAACATTGTACAAGAAATGTTCCAAGAAGTTCTTTTACTGTCTAATGTTCTCCTCCCCTCTGCAGGCCCACTTCCTGCTTATCCCTCAAGGATGTTACTGCCTCCTTTAAGAAACCCTCCTTGACGCACTCAGCCTGCAGGTCTCCCCTCCTCTGAGGTCCTCAGGACTTCCTTGGGGCTTTTGTTAGTCTTATCTCCCTTCCAGAAGGTGAGCACCTTGAGGACAGGTCCCATGTCTTACTTGTCTTTGTATCTTCCTGCACAGCACCTGCTCAGGGCCCGTCAGATGAATGAATGTATCTTGAGAAGCCATCACAAGTTAGGGTCTTTTGTCCTTGGATCTCCTTGGAAGGTCAGGCTCCCACTCCACCCTCAGAAATGTAGACCGGGCTCTCTGCTCATCCTTGCTCTGGGAGTCCCTGTTTAGGGCCAGGTAGGCCACAGGCACTGGGTCATCCCCTCTGTGCAGACCCCCACTTGCCCCGATTGCTGACACTGCAGTCTGAGCTGAAGCCCTGCCCTCCCCCCACTGCAGGACCCCGCAGCACAAAAAGTACTTAGAATAGTTCACATGCGCCGAGGTGGTCAGCCACTGCCTCGCAGTTTCTAAGAACTTCTTTCTTTGCTCCTGGCCCCAGTATGGCCTGCTGCCATAGCAAAGCAAAGACGGAAAGAGAAAACCCAAGGAAAACAGAGCTTGTAGGTTTCCCTGGGGGCGGTGGGCAGGAGTGAACCGTGGCCTGCACAAAGTCATCTAGTCCATCCCCCTGCCTCTGGGGGCACTCTTGGTCTATTTTGGGTGGACAGTTATCTCTGGCATCCAGAAAGCATTCCCTGGGTTACGTGTTTCCCATGCCTCAGAAAGGTGTTTTTGACATTCACCCTCCGTCCCTCCTGGTGGCTTGGGCTCCCCCCTTCCTGCGTCTGACCTGCAGTCGGGCATGAGAGGAGACAGGGGAAGGCAAAAGCCTGCATCCCAGCAGAGGGAGTGAAGAGCACACGGTGTCAGGCCACCGGCTAGGCTTTGGAGCGGACACACTGGGACAGAGTGAGGCTCAGCCTTCCTGGGGCTCCCTCCTTCCTTCTCACCCCCCAGGAACTCTGGAGTGTTTCCTGGGAGCCTGGGAGGTTCAGGGGCCTTGAGGACAGAGGAAGACAAGAGCTTCTGCGGGAGGTCACGTAGAAGTCCTTCTCTGGAAAGGGAAGCATCCCATCCTGTGTGTGACACAGGGCAGTGGGGGCCATGGAGGAGGGGAGGAGGGGCCCACGGGAGCCCTGAATGAGAGCCAAATCCCCATGTGATGGTCTCTCTAGGCGCTTTCTGAGGGGCCCCCAGATCACATCCTGGAGTAGGATTTTCCCCAGCCCAGACTCTTTCTGGCCCCGGGGAGGGACAGGCAAAGGCCCCGGCTCTGTGTTCCCCACACTCTAACACCCAGGAAAGCCTCTCGCTCTGTTGCTCACAGGCTTTTTGCCAGAGGTGTGCGGGACACATGGGTGAGGAGTGAGGGAGGAGACTCTCCAACCCTTCTCCGATTTCCCGCCCTCAGAAGCCATGGCGCAGAACCCACCTGTCCTTCCCAAGGGAGCCTGGTATGAAGGCTCTGCGGTGGGAATCTTTCCTCCAACATACCAACCCCAAGTTAACTTGCAAATGACAGGTTTGTGTCAGCCTAACGTTTTAATGATGAAAAGTACAGAAAGCCCCCCTCCACACATGCCCTGGATGCCCTGGCCCTCACTCAGGTCCTCTGACCTCCTCATTCCTCCCTCGTGTGCTCACAGCAGGCCCAACTCTTCCTGCTCTCCCTCCAGGAATCCGCTTCCGGAAAACAAGGAGTTGGCCTCCCTCTTGCAGACAGGTTCTGTCCGGATCTCCCGATCTCCCAGAAGAAGTGGAGAAGAAAGAAGCTCCCGTGGAGAGAGTGGAGGAGGTTCATGGTCATGTTCAGGGACTTGGCTTGGGGTGGAGAGGCTGAATGTCCTCCCCTCTTCTTTTTCTTCCCCAAAGGACTCCACGCCCTCCTGCTCCTCACTGCTGCCTCCCTGGGGCTCTGGGCATGACCAGTGTCCTCCATCCTTCAGGACCGGCTCTCTGGGTCAGTGTTGGTGTCAAGAGCGAAGTTTTGAGGATCTGTCATCATCCCATGGCTGTGGAGCCAGACAGGGCCATCCCGGGGTGAGGCGGGGCTAGGAGCTAGATTCTGCAAGACACGGAGCACCGGGATATTCCGGCGGGTCCTGAAGGAACAGCTGCCGAGGGGCCACCCCTGTTCCGCGTTGCGGTCAGGCCCAGGGGCTGTCCCAGCAGGGGCCATGGGTTCAAATGCAGAGACACCGCGTGCTCTCTGAGCTTGGGCCAATTCCTCCCCTGGCAACCCCCCGCCCAAACACTTTTTTGAAAACAGCCTTTTCAGGATGAGGTGTGTGCACGCGCTGGGGCACTTGGTGAGCGGCTTCCCGAGGGCCTGGGCATAGATGCCACAGAGAAAAAAGATGCTCTGGTTCAGTGCTGAAAGGGCCATTTTTGCACAAAGGTCAATTCTGAATAATTTAAAAATGTTTAGGGGTTACTTTGTTTTCTACTCAAAATATAAGATGTTTTAAGTACACTTAAGGAAAAATGTTTTCTTACTGACATAGGTTATTTGCTTTACTGAAAAGGAGACTACCAGTAAGGAAATCAGCAAGGCTTTGGGGGCACTAAGTGTCTGTGTCTGGGCATATTTATGAAGGTATGACACAGAAGACAGAAGAGGCCCCTTTATCTCTCTTGAGATGTGTTGCAGGCCATCCTGGGAAGCTTAGTGGGGGGTGCATCGTCCCTTAAGCCAAGAGTTAGTCCTCAGTGATCTAGTTCAATACCGCATTTTGCAGGTGGGTAAATCAAGGCCCCAGGAGGGCGAGTGACGGCCCAGCTGAAGTCACAGAGTTCCTGTGGAGCCACGGCGGTTAGAGGACCCTGGTACCCTGACCTCCAGCCCAAGCACTCCTGAGGGCACAGGGAGGGCTCCCTGAAGGCAGGCAGGTGGCTGCCCCTCTGATTCTCCTTCCCGTCCCCCCTCTGCCAGGGCAGCACCTTTACCTTGTACCGGCCGCTGTCCTTGGGGGAGACGCTGGGGATGATGAGGGAGCACACGCCCAGCACATCGGCGCTGTACACCGCGGCGTTTCCCGCCAGGCTCCGGCCGTCCTTGAACCAGGTGACGTGGGGCCGCGGCCAGCCATGCACTGCACAGCTCATGCAGCACTCACAGCCCTGTGGCAGCAGGTGGGTCCGCAGGCCCACCAGGAACCGGGGCTTCTGGCTCAGGTTGGGCTCCCGGTAGCTCGGACGCCTCACTGGGAACCCGTCTGTGGCAAACACCGGGGCGAGAGAGAGAAGGGTCAGTGAGCAAGGAAGGGAGGGCCGAGGCAGGAGTCGGGGTGGCAAGTTCCTGGTGGAACGTAGGCACGTTCTGGGTCCTTCCGCCACATCTTACCAGTCAATTTGGCCCTCACGGCTTGACTCGCTTTTTTATCCTTTTCTTAAAATACATTTTGGATTTTATTTATTTATTTTT